CAGGAGGGTTGGAACTTGATGATCTTTAAGGTCCCTTCCAACCTTAATGATTCTGTGATTCTATGATTCTTCCTAGTTCCTGCTTAAACAAACAATTTTCCTGCTAGGAAGAATGTATGCACAGGTTTAAACCAAGAAGATTTTTATACAAGCCCAGTTTCAGAAACCACAAGTACAAAGATTACACTACTGAGGTAACCCTTACTATATAATGACATTTGATATTACAATATGCTTATTCTGACTTTGGTTACCAAAAGGTAGCTGGTGGTGTAATACCCTGGGACTGCCAGTTATTGCCAACACTAAACAGGTACCTCAAAGTAAGCCAGGTTTATTTAAAAGAAAGGCCAAACAGTTCTTATGTACAGCTTGGTCTCCTTCTTTTTGAAATGTACAATAAAGATGTAATTTCTGAAAGTGTTTTGGCACAGCAGTATTTACAATCCTATGTTGAGGTGGTTAACTAGAAAACTGTATTACAAACAGAGAAATGGTCAAGTATACTTACAGTGCACTCCTAACAAGCAAAGTAAAGGAGCTTCAGAAAGCTTTAATTTATAGGTAGAGAAATACTGTCTTTTCAATGATTTTTTACTACCAAGGCACCACATGTCTGTTATTCAGAGCTCTGTGTTTATTTGCATATAAATAATTCAACACCTAAACAGTTCTTTATTTTTTCTGTAGTTGTTTAGCTAGTCCTGGAGCATCAGTCTTATACCTTTCAGTGCTCTGTGGTGTTGTGTTCCAGTAACTAAGGGTGTAAGCTTGTAGATAGGCTGGGATTACCTTAAATTAAGAAAATAATATGAAAAATGAGGTTGTACAGAAGATTGTAGCTTTCTAAAGGACATGTCTATTTTTAGGTTGTTTTTAAAGTAAGAACATCCTTGTAGCCCTCACTAGACAGTGCATGGTTTTCTGTGTCAGATTTGTATCAGCCTTAAGTAGGCTTCTTCCTACCTTATTGTTGTAATTACAAGGTTTTATTTTTTTTAGTGCAGATCAATGGAATATACAATATGTGGATCAAAGTTGATACTGTGCAAATTACACAATTTGCACAATATTTTTATATTTGTTTTTTTATAATTTTATATGCTTTTTATGTTATGTGTTTTTTAAAATGATTTTACAATTGTTACTGCAAATGACAGTAGCAGTAACTTACAGGTAGTTAATATGCATGACTTAAATGCTCACTGTGGTCCACACATTGGTGCTAATGTGAATTCAGGCCACAGTAATTTAAAAAAAAAAAAAAAAGGTTAAAAAAACCCCAAAACCAAAACAACAAAAAGACAGAAAACCATAAAACCAACCAGTAGAATCAATGCTGGTAAGTGGAGATAGACAGAAAAGAAACCTCACTGTTGCTGTTCAGTATAGCAGAAATCCCTATGTGATGCTATGCTCTGCATGTAGCTAAAGAGGGAGAGCTGGAAAGCAGCTGCCTGACTTTGCAAGGTTCTGCTTTTCAAGGGTAGTTGCAATCTATTCCAAACAAGCAATACTTCTTAGTTACCAGTAAAACTTTTGCTTCCTTTCAGAGTGCTGTTTTGAGAGGGCTGTAGGAATTGCTTGGAGTTAGGTCAGTGGGAAGCCAATGCAAATTGTATTGGAGTGTCTATTAGCTGTGTGAAGGTTTATTGTTGTACAGAACCAAATACCTTGGTAACTTCTTAAGACAGGAAAGGTGAAGTCTCTACCTAGAATTGGGGAAGGAAAACTTCAACCTTAATATCCTCAGGGAGATGAATAGGAGGACATTTCTTGAGATAACTTTTATTAGACTAATTGAAATAATGTTTTTGTGCTGCTTTCCAAAAGTATGTTGCTGGTCTCTTGGCTAGAAAGAGGTGGTGTTAGATGATGTTGCCATGACTAGGTTTCTGGTTTACCACAGATTCTTTAATGACAGGCACAGGTTCCTTAATGTATTGGTGTCTTGTTTTGGGTTTTATTGTGTTGTGTTGTTGTTTGTTTTTTCCATTTGTAAAATGGGCACAGGGCTTCCTTAAATTGTGGAACAGTTTTGTGAATGTGTTTCTTAAAATATTTAGGCATTTAAAACTCTAGCTATTAGACTATAAAAGTAGATATGTAGCTAAGTAGAGGCTAGATAAATGCTGTAAAGAAACAAATGCAATAGTAATTTTAACTCATCCTTAAATTAGTTAAGTATGCAAGTCTTAACTTAGGTTTAATTTTTAAACAAAGAATAAAATACATTTCAGTTTTTACATGTGTGTGGTATTTACTTGTTAGTTTGTATATTTTAATTTTCCATGTTTTGTGTAATGTGGGATTTAATAATTGTGAAAAATGAGAAAGTTGTTGCTTGAATATGTTTGTCAAAACTTCAGATGTCTTAACTCAATCAAGGTGGAAGCAAAACGTAAGATGAAATACTGAGTTTGTGTAAAATGCCAACAGTGAAATGCTATATGGGAAATATGTTTTATTATGCATATTATTATGCATTTCTGAATTATTGCTGGTTGTCTAATATTGGGAATACTCGATAGTTTTAAAAATCTTTTTCTCACTTTTAAAAATTTGTTTTATGTCTGAAGATCATATTGCTTTTGTTTAAAATTGTTTAGAATTGTAACTGAGTTAGAGTTGACTCACAGATGGTTAGAAATAAGCAATAGGAATCCCAAACATATTATTTTAGCTTGTATGAATTTGTGGAGCTTGACTCACGACTATTGAGCTTTGATGACTGGCAAAACTGCAAAAGCTCTTGTGAAAAGTGGATGGGGTTCTTGGTCCCCTCCAAATTAACAGCAAAACTTCCATTAATTAACTGCAAGAACAAGCCCTAGAAATTGAACTATTTGCCATGCATTTTTTATAAAACAGCAGCAGCAGTTTAAGATATTAATGCAACGTAAGCTATTTGTTACTGCTGTTTTGCTGGAATTTATCACTCCCACAGCAGAATCTGAAAATGGAAGGTGATCATGTGCCTTGGCCACATCAGGGTGAAGTTGAGCAGTTTAGCTTAAACTGCTGCTGAAAGTTGTTTTTAAGTGAAGCTGCCAGACTTTGTGCTGAAGCGGATGAGGTGCAAGTACACGTTACATTCCACCAGCTCTCCTTTGGCAGCAGTGTTCTCCAGCAGAGAAATAGGACAGACATTTGGGGGTGGTAAGTTTTGAAACTATCTCAGCTAGAGCTACTAAACCTTGTCTGTTAACATGCTGAGATGACTGTTAATCAAAATTCATGTGGTCAAAACCGCGGTGAAACAAAGACCTCGATTACTCTTTATGTGTGACTGGAAAGTAGAGCATGTTTTTGAAATGGAACGGCTCCAAAGTAAGAAAATTGCAGATTCTGTCTTATTTTCAGTCCTCAAAATATTCACTCTTTTAAGTCGCAAGGGTCTGATGAAATTTAAGGAAATAGCTCCTTTACTAATCAAATGTTTTTCTTTCTATATTTTTTACTTCCAACCGTAGTGTAAAAACTGCATGGGGCACAGCTTTGTTCCTTGGCATTGGCAAGAGCTAGCATTTTTGTAAGTGATGTGTCATTTTTAACTAAATGCCATTTCAGCAAACCAGGGTGTGTGTGCCAGCTTTGTACAATAAAATGCTTGGCAAATAAGTCAGATATGGAATTTAGAGTACTTGCACCAAGAAGGGTTATTTCTTTATATTGACAGTGGTTTGAACCATGGCAATGAGACACCTGACTTAGAAACTGATACAAAGAAGCCCAATTTTTTTATTAACACAAACTTAATAAAAGAAATGTGGTATTTTTTCACTCTTATTCAGATGAAATTCCTTTAGAAAATCCAAGTAATTTATGATAGTCAGTTTCTTGATACGATGTGCCTAATCATGGGTCACTAACCTGCCTGTGTTTACAGGATGGGATTTAGACCAATGTTTTGAGGAACAATTAATTGCCTACTGATTGCAAGACTTTTTTTTTTTTTTTCTTTCCTCAGCTCTAGTCAAAGATTGGTATGAAGAAACTAGGTCCTGTGAGGTCAGATATCACTGTTTAATGCTTAAACTCCTACTACTGCCTTACATGGGATTTGACAACCTTTCCCTTGATAACATCAAGACAGGAGTCCAGTAAATCATGAATGTTGTCCACTAGATAAGATAATATGAATGTGATCGATTAAACTCAAGAAGAGTACATCAGCAGCTAATAAATCCAGATCCCTTACCAGCCAATTTTTTTTTTTTGTTGCTTGTTTGACATACTAGTTTTATTTAGAGAGGTAATATTTAACATATACTCTTTATATAGTCAAATAATCCAGTTTCTATATTGTTTCATTTAAAATAATAGTATTTGTTAATCCGTCCATTAATTTAACCTTGAAAATATTTTTGAAGTGTTTAAGAAAGAATTACTAAACTGGTTTAGGGTATCTTTCATAGGAGTCCTTCATCTGTTGCTTTGCTGAAATTGTTCTATGAATTTTTCTCCCCTTTGGATTAACATTGTATTAATAGTGAGAAAACTTTCAACAGTTTTGTCTTTAATGGAAAAAATGAGAGCCTTTGATTTTTCTTTACTTCATATAAAAATGAAAGTTTTGCAGCACTTAGATGTGAGGTTGTTAACTTATGTCGCTGTATTATTTATTTAGTTATAATGCAGTAGGTATTTAGTGGAGAGGATGCATGTGTACATTAATGCACTTGTTACAGTTGTTGATAGGGAGCTGACTAATTTAAGTACCCTAGACTTAAAGGAGTAGGCCACTGTCATCTTTTCTTCCACTGAATTGCCTTCCTTTTATTCTGTCTCTTCTTTTGCTTTAGTACTCTTCTGTTGATTGCATGTATGAACATTTACTTCTGTGCTTTGAAAATGCATGTCCTTGAAGAAGCTTGAGGAGCAGCCCTGATGCTGATAGTGACACTTTCAGCTAGATATGTTGTTCTTGTATCAGCATAAGGCCTGAAAAGAAATGCACTTTGGTTTTGCTTCTGCATAGTCTTTATGTCACTTATTCATTCTTTTTAACTACTGATCAATCTCTCATTTTTTTTTCCCCCTTTTCTTTCTACATTCTTCTCCCTGCCCTCTATCCATTATGTCGATACGTGGTTAACAGCATGTTGTCAGGGCAGAACTAGTGAAATATCCTGAAGAAGATAACCAGCGTCACACTTCCAACTGCCAGAGCAAAGTTTGCTCAATGCAGTAGTTCAGGTATTGATGGAAAACTTGGGGTTTGTTTCAAGCTGTGTTGCTCTTATATGAAGTAACAACTCTTACAGTAAAGTTCAATTGGAAAAATATATTTTGTAACTGTAAGCACTTGTAACTCTCTATACAATTACATGGTGTTTCTAAGAACCAGAGAGTTCATAGAAACTTGGAAACACTTTGTATTGCTGTCTTAGAAAGGTACTTCAGTGCTGTGTGTTCAAAATGTTACAGAGCTGCCTAGGATGGAAATGGACTGAAAATTGGAATCTCATTTCCTTCTCCTGCTATGGGAGACACTGATAATGTTATCAAATGCTTTGTAAATTGAATGGGTAGTATCTGTTGGATCTGTATAAGAAAATAAATATATATGATAGGCAGGGGTTCTATTTATGTTAATTTAGTCTTTAGTCTGTCTGCCTATCAAAGCGTTTTTGAAGTATGGCTGTATTTGACATTTGCTTTGAATTCTGTCCATATTTTCCTGTGAAGTGCCTGGAATAAAGACAGAAAGGCAAACTTAGGTACGTTTTCCAATTACAATTTGGGCAGTTATACTTAAACAATGCATACCATAGTCTGTGTAAACAAATACTATTCTATTATTTCCATCCAAAATATTTTGAATAAAACTATATTAATTACTTTTGAAAAAAGTCCTGTTCTATTTTTAGTGTTATGAAAACCTACCAAGGCACTTCCTTCTGCTTAGTATGGATAATTGGGTATCTAGAATGAGAATTAGCACCTGATTCAGACTTTCTGTAAGGTAATGAAAAAAACTGAACAGTGTCTGTTTTGCCTATATTTTTGTACCCTTCCTATTTCATAGTAAAATATCTGTTTAATGCTTTGCCAGCATGAAGATTATATTTTCTGATTGCTACTGTGTTTTCTTTTTTGACAGAGGGTGGTGAAGGCAGATATTGTCAACTACAGTCAGGAGCCTGTGACAAGAACCGTAAATCCTCCAAGAAGCTCTATGTGTGCAGTTCAATGACCATGCAATTCTCCTCTGTTTGGATACCTTTGGAGGTCCTCCTACCTTGATACAGGCTCTGGGAATACAAGAAACTTTTTTTAACAGTGACCATCCCAACAATGCAATTAGAGGTTTCACAAATGTGTTGCACCATTACATGCTGAGAAGCAGCAGGCAGTTTTTTGACTGGTCAAAATTTAAACATGAGACACACTTTGAAAAATTAAGATCTATATTATTTTAAATTGTTTAAATAATGCAGTATAACTGTGTTTCTGTGTTTCCTCCTATTTATTTGACTGATATTGGAATAAAAATGGATGAAGAAACCCTGCATTCAAAATACTTTTAAAGACATCATCGAGGAAGGGTATTTTGCCAAAGCATTTTGAAATTTTTTTGTCTCTTTTTATTCGTCTGTGATCTGAACTAACACTCGGCAAAATGTACTTAGAAAAGGTATTGCTGGAGTAATTTTAAGCACATAATATATTTTATCTAGGGATAATTTGGAAAGCATTCCGTTAATATATATATACATAGTGCAAAATATATAAATTGTATCCCGTAAGAAACAGTGCTTGAAATAAAGCTGTAATATAAAAATACTTCTCTGAAGTCTCACGTTGTCTCTGTGGACGCTCTGTAAAATGCTAATATTTTGGTGTATTTTTATTACCACATCAGCATTACTTCTCACAGAAGTAGATATGCTCATATGTCTTCATGAATATGGATGAACCTCAGTCAGCAGTTTGAGTTGTAAATGTTGAGTGATGTATTCAGCATGCATTAGAAACTGTTGATAGATCAATTAGGATCAGTAATTCTTAGTAGCTAACTGAATGAATTTTGGCCTGGTACTCTTATTTCTAGTTAAGAGTAAATGACAAATAAAAAGCTGTCTGCTCTGTGATCATCACATTTCTCCTCTGTTCCTTTTCTCTTAAACATGCAGTTCTCTGCTGGTACATCTGAACAGAAAGCTAAGGAGAAGAAAAAATATTAAGCCGACTTGATTCTAAGCTAGAAGTCTTTTCCTGTTTTAATTCCAGAATGTGTTTTCTTATAAAGTACAAGAAAACATCTAGAGATTTAGAAAATTAATGAGGCTGGGTGAAGGAAGCATGTGTATCACAAAATTAAAATTATAAGGTCCTTCAAGTGACTGTTCCTATGTGTTTAATACTTGAAACTATTAAACTATTCATAGTTTAATGAAATAGTTAAACTACTTTAACTATGTTATTAAAAAAAGATTGCAGATGGCAAAAATGTGCAGTTTGTTATTTTGGTATATTCCAAGATTATTGAAAAACTAAGTTCGTTTTTAAACCATTCAGCATGCAGCTTGATACATAGTTTTATGACTACATGATAATGACTTAGTGTTGTAATATTTTATAATGCAAATGTGGGCAATTCTAAGACACGAGCTGAGATAGTGAGAAATTCTCCTACAATGTGCATTTGCAATAAGTGTTTTATTCTAGGTTTACGGTCTGTGTTCCTGCTTCTGTCCCATGGAGTTAGTGTCCCAGTCCCACTTTACCTTATAGTTAAATGCAACTGAAAGATGAACTATCTTCTGCTACTACTAGATGAGAACTTGTGTTCAAACATTTTTATTGAAGGAGCAAGTAAGATTGCAGGCTTATACTTTTCAAAGCATGTGGTGAGTTGTTTTTTTTTTCTGAACGCTCAGATTTCTTGGTTTATTTGTATCCTGAACTCTGCCAATATGTTAAAAAATTCATGAGAACTGCCCCCTCTCTGGGGAGCTGGGCACAGCCTGGCTCAGCTGGATGGCCAGAGCCACCTTCCTCTAGTGCATGTGAGTCAGCCTCATAGTCCTGCTTCCCAAGTAATATGTAGAATGGTCTTAAAAACCAAGCAGTGCTTTTCTCTTAAAAACTTCTGTAGGTTTTTTTTTTTTCAGAACTTGATATGCAAAGCCCGTTATTACCCTGAATAATAAGAAGCTTTTGCTTTTACATTTAGGGTAATCCTGCAGTGGGAAGGCTGTGATACGTGTCCCAGACCAAGCTTCTTTACAGATGGATTTTGTGTTTCTATCTGTCTTTGACTTGTACATCCTTTTGTGTTTTATTCCCATTGATCTTTTCAGCAGTTTCTGTTAAAGCCCTACCTCCTCTGAAGATATTTTTGTTTACATTTCCAAGCTGCTCTCATTCTTCCTCCCTAACATACATGTATATTATTTACACTAACCAGGAATCTCTTGTCTTCTGTGCCCCCAGCCCCTCCCTTTGCTGCCCCTCTTAACCTCATCAGATTTTCTGTGTTGTATACTGACTTCCACTCTCCCTGCTTTTCCCTACCCTAGCTGCCCCATTTAGATCCATTACCTGTCCACATTTTAATCCTTACAAATGAGCTTTGCTTTTTTTTTGGCTCAGCCCTGGGGACCGCACCCTGAGCCTTTGGATTCCAGCTGCAGTCTAAATCCTTGGCTGTGGTAGCTGCCTTTGAAGTGCTGCAACAGCTGTGGTTGAAGATTCAGGGGTGCTGTTGCCTTTGGTATGGCCCAAGTTCCACAAGGCTGAGCAGAAAGATCAGAGATAATTTTGGAGGATTAAACAATGTAAAGAGACGGAGTAGACGCTGTTTTGCAGGGAAGACAAGGGCTATTTGGTGCCTGGAGGGGTAGAAGCAAATTTAGTCAGAGGTATAGGGAGGAGGCAGGTGAGCCACCACTTCTGTGTCTAGTCTGCTTCCATAGGTGATATCCCACTGCTGGTCCACATGATTCATGTACAGTAGAGTTTAAGCATGTGCCATGTTAATGCACTCAGAAGTTCCTTGCAAGATGAGAACTAGTTGAGAGCAATTCAGCAAATAGTAATGAAGTTAATGCAACACTTTCCAAAAGTCAGGCAACATATGCTTAATGTCTGTTGACATGGGGAGTGGGGTAGAGGCAGGGGGAAAGCATGTTCCTTCCTGAAGCTGAGGCCAGGTGGAGGGAAGAAACACGTTGAGACCATGATCTTACACAGATCCACACTGGTGAAGTGATCTGCCTGCTCAGAATTGTTGTAACTAATCATTTCACTAACAGCTCTGCAGCTAAAAATGTTTCTAAGTTAAGCTCCTTGCCAGAGTCAGCCTGGTGTGATTGGTGGTTACCAATAGGTACCCGTGTCTGGCTATATGTTAGATTACCAATGCTTTTAAAACATGTATTTGAAGACTTAGACTCATGCAACTTAATATCTTATGTGGTTCTAAAATTTAGGGGAGTCAAATGGAGTCTTTTTCTCGAACAGTGCTGTGAAGGTATTTTCCCTTGCAACCAGCTGCTGTGAGTTCCAGAATGCATGAGGTAATGATCTCCTCTCCAAATACATCATTCTTTTCACATGAAAACATGAGGCTTCTTTTAAAACAGAATAACTTTTTTTAAAAAAAAATAAATATATATATAAAAATTGAAGAGCACATACAAGGTCACTAGAAAGCTAGGTAAAGTGTATGGAATCTGAGGAATTTTAATATTGTTGGTGCTATCCATGGGTATCATTAGGCTTCTGTTCACTGGAACTGAAAGGTATTTGCATTAGGCAGCTTCTTTTGAATAGAGAGCTAATTTACTTGTTGAAGCAAACAAAAAAAAAAAGCCAAAATTTTATAACAACTTTATAACGAAAAATACCATAGCAGTATTTAAAGTTGGCTGTTGTTTAGCTTTTTGATGTGATGATGGCAATTTAAATAAGTTGAAATAATATTTTTTCCATTTTACATTAGGAATATGGTTGCTTTTTCACAAAAGAAGGTTTGTAACTTTCATTCATACAAGTTGTAGTAGAATCACTGACTCACATGTCGATCTGAGAACAGAGCTTCAGGTGTTGGTGGGAAGAGGCTCCAAAGCCTTGTCACTATGTACCTGTGTCACGCTTGGATTGCTGCTCGGTGCTGGCCCAGCAGCTGTCACTAGCTGAAGTAAAAGAAAATCCTCCATAACTTGTTGCCTTTCAAAGTAAATCTTGGTATATCTAATTAGAACTGTGCTATTCTGTTTTATGTTTTGTTGCTGACAGAAGACTAAGTTGCTGTTCCTTAGCATAATTAACAATTTTATGTTATTGGGAAATTTTCTGCAGAATATTTTTTTTTCCTGTTTAGAATACTTGCATTAGTTTCTGATGTAGCTTAAGAGTTTGTATGAGGGGCCTGATAGATGTATTTAAAGTGCCACTGACATTTATAGAATTCATATTTCCAAAGCTGACATGAATAACTACTTTTCCTTCTGGAATTTGAGCATTATTTCCCAAGCAAAGAGGTCATTCTACAATGTTGTATTCTTTTCTTTCTCAGTTCAAGTACTACTGCTTAACATATAATCTGATTTCTTTAGCCTGTCTTTTTTTTTAAACCAACTCATAACCACTTAAAATGTCAAAATAGCTGAATGCAGCTGAAAAGAAAAAGCCTAAATTTATCCATGTTTGTATAGGGGTAATGGCATACGTATGAGATTAGAACTCCAGTCCAGATAATTATCCATAGGAAGCAAATTTATACGCTGATTTCAGATGCTATGAATAGAATGTGATTAGAATTTAATGTGCTACAGTTTTATTTGCAAAATACACAGGTCCTATATAAAACCTCTTTTTATAAAATGCTCTCTGGAAGCCTTGGGGATCCCTGTTTAACTTGCAAATACCGAAGTCTGATCTTCCCCAAATAGAAGATAGTGAAGCTCCTGAGTTCCACGAACTGATTTCTATTTTCAGCTTCCCATAGAGAGCTGACTGTTCAGCCAACGTAAACTTTTTTTTCTTCTTCTACTCCACTTCATCTTCATTCATTTTGGCACCATTTTGAATTGGAAGACTTCCAGTTAGTTAATTGGCCATTTGCCTTGTTTTATGTGGGGGTGATGTCAAGTGCTGAAATAACCAATTGCCTGAAAGCAATCTTGTTTCAAAGGCTGGTCAGAACCAAACCTCAGAAGGTACCAATTTCAGGTTTATTTTGTATTTAACCACTACACAGCATTCCTTATCCTAGTGGATGGACCTTGGAGAAGAATATAGATTTGAGGTCAAGAGCTTGTGTTTGCTCAGATACCACATTCAGAGCACTGAATTCTGGAGGAAATGGGAATCCAGATCTTTTTTTAATTTCACTTTCAAGACATTCTCTTCCTCTACTCTCTAACGTCATCTTAGCAATCAATGTTTTTATAAAAATATTAAGTCAAGTTCCTGTTTAAAACCCCAAATAGCAATTATACATTGCTTCAGAAAAGTTTTTCTTTTAAGGATGAGTGGACAAAGCTACTTATGCTGTAGGAAATATCACTGGCATAGGTGA